GTCCAGAATCCAGGGCCAAGACCACATGTCATGGATATCGAGTGACTCAATTTCTTTGATATTTGTGACAGGTCTTGTCATTTGACATTTGTCACCAGACCTTGAGTGACTGATGGCAATTAATCACCTGTCTGGACCTGTTCCCAGTGTCATCTTTCCACCTCGAGTCACAGAGGGCATCTTGACTTTGGACTATCCCTCTCCCTCTCTCCTCCAAGGTCCCATAGAAAATGAAGTTGGGGAATAGGGGATATAGTTCTGGAGACAATAGGAAGCAGCTGTAAAAGTTAAGAGGATGGTCCTGGGGGTGGGGGTGGGGCGAGGACTCTGGAGAAATTTACAGAAGGCGCAGGTCAAGAATATGTAGAAAGAGGGAGACTAGAGCGAGGGCTACATGGTGGAGGGGACCTGGGGGAGGGTTTGTAAAACAATGAAAGAATCTTTTCTTTTACTTTTCCATAATTTTTGGACTCATGTAGTTATAACTTGTTAGTCAAATTTGTGTCTTCTAGGTTGCAACACCCCCATGATACATCTTCAAGGATATGAACATGTACGGCCAAGCACAATCAATAAGAGTGCATCTAAATTCCAAAATCAATCTCCATAATAGTCTATGTGTTTCCTACTGCCAAAGGGGCCCTTTAGAGTAGTGAGAGAAGATCTTCACCCTGAAACTCACAGCGTCCCTTTTCAGCAGGAAGTAGCTAAGAGAATACGCCGTCCCCTTTTCCTTATGACTCAGGGTGAAGTCTCTCTCAGGGAGGAGTGATAGGGAATGGCAAAGGACACACCGACAAAGGAGATTAATCAGAACTGGCTTTGACAAGCACTGTGGCATTTGGACAAGAACAAACTGGGAGGAGGGTAGAGAGAATAGTGCAACAATGAATGAGTGGAAACCCAAAATCTCTGTAAATGTTTATGAAAATTAATAAAATATAATTATAGAAAAAAAGAAAAAAAAACAAGGCCCACGTCTCCAGGACCCTCTGCTTTTTCTCCCAGGGGCCCAGGATGACGAAAAGGCCCTGAAAGGTGTGCGCCCAACTCCCAGCCGTGGCAAGCGCCCCTGTTTTGAGAAAGGGCGTTCAGCAGCGGGGCTTCCCTCATCTCCTCTCAGTGGGTGCTGTCTGCGGCCTACTGAAAAACCTGATATGGAAACAGATCTCGGGGTTTTGAGAGGGAGCAGCTGGAGGTCCGGACTCTAGGAGCTTCCAGACATGGACACTGGAGTCAAGACTGCTGGGTCTGAAGTGGGAGGAGCCCACTCTCCCGAGTTCTGAAAAAATAAGAGGCCTGGGAAAGAAGGGGCTTTTAGCGTTCTGAGCGAAAGGGGAGGAGTAGTGAGGTCCCTTCCTCCGGAGGTTCTGACATGTCTAGTGGCCTGAGAATGAGGGATTCGAAGTAAAAAGGGTTGAGAGCCTGGAGACGGTATTGCAGACGTGGGGGTGGGGGAACCCTCGGCTCCAGGGCTTTAGGAGAGGATAATGGAATCTCACACTTGCCGAGGGTTCTGGGGCGCTCAGGGGGCCACCCTGAGACGGGGCTGTCGGCCTCTCGCTCCCCTCGAGGATACCACGCGCCTGTGCACAGAGTGGAGCGCCCTACACATGCGCCTGGGTGAGCACAGTCTGCGCAAGCGCGATGGCCCTGAAGACCTCTCGCTCCCCTCGCGGATACCAAGCGCCTGCGCAGAGTGAGGAGCTCATACACGTGCACCTGGTCCGGAACAGCTCCACCTCGCCTCCGGGGTTTTCTTGCATCCAGACCTTGAGCTCCTTAGCCACAGGGATGACGTTATGCTGTTGAAGATGGCGAGGCCAGCGCACATCACCAGGCAGGTTGCACCCCCGTGGTGTTATCTTCGTGCTGCCCACACCCAGGCGAGGCCTGCGTTGGTGTCCGGCTAGGGCCTGGGTCCAGTGCTGATCCAGGTACCAAGGGGAGGCCCCACATCACAAGGTGCACGTGAGGGGCCGATGACCACGCTTGGGGAGCCCTGCTCTCCAGGGTGTCAAGGTGGAGGGTGTGAGGGCATGCATGCAGAAGTGAATGTCCCAGACACGCTGCATCGTGCCAACTGACTCTTGTAACAAGACTACCCAGGCCATCTGCTTAACACAGTGGAGTGTGCTGGTGTGAAGGGCGGGGACACCGACTCTTGCGAGGTCAGAGCCCAGAGGGGTCCACTGGGGGTGGGAAGAAGGGTGGGAGAAGGTTGGGGGGGTTGGATGGTGTTCGATTTGCTGGGAGTAGATTTAGGAATGAAATTGGAAGAGTAGTTAGAATGGAGAGTTTATAGTGTTGGGGTTGAGTTTGGTCTGTCACTTGGGATGTTGAGATGTCAAGAGTTAAGGTTGGGAGTAAGGATGTTTGGCGTGCATTGAATTAGGGAGAGGGGTAGTTTAGTTGGAAGACCAGGAGATAGGTGTTGGGTGGAACAGGATACAAAGTTGGTGGGGGGTTTGGCTGGATGTTGAACTGGGAAGATGTTAGGGATGAGTTAAGTTGGGTTGAGGTTGCATGGCACGGGGTTAGAATTACGTCCCATGAATTTGATCAAGTGGCTGTGTGGAGTTGCGTTAAATTGACTTCAGTTAAGTTGGATTGAACTGACTAGTTGAGTTTGGGTTGAGTGGGGTGAGGTCATTGGGCTGATCTGCGTTAAACTGGGGTTTGAACTCATGAGTGGGGTTGATATGAGGATGATCCCCTCAAGCTGAGACCTCCCATTTCTCCCCACAGGGTGACTCTGGAGGACCTCTGGTCTGTGGGGGGAGTCCTGCAAGGCATTGTGTCTTGGGGTGATGAGCCCTATGAAACCACGACCAAGCCTGGCATCTATACCAAAGTCTGCTCATACATGGACTGGATCAGAGAAACCATGGGAAGGAACTGACTGCTCCGCCTCCTGCCTTGACCTCGACAGAGCAGGGGCCCCACTGTCTTCCCTGGGACAGAACCAGGCCATCCCACCAGACTCCATCCAAGACTCAGAGTTAGCCAAGGATTTGTCCCTTCCAAGGCCAGACTGGTACTCAAGGTCGCGCCTTAAACACCAAGATAACCAAGAGTCTGATCCAAGTTTCTGTGCATAAGTTTCTATAACTTTCTTCCGGGTGGAGAGAAATGGGGTGCAGAGCCTGGGTGGGGAAGAGTCATCTAGGGTGCCCAGAGCCACCCTGCCCTATTCAGCCACTGCCCTGACTGCACGGTGAGTAGAATGGGCTTGAACAAGAGCGCTGTCCATTGAGCACATTACCACCTGCATGGTCTTCAATAGCTACGACCCAGTAACACTCAACGTTGATCATCCCACCTCTAAAATGGGCATTAAGATGATGGCTACCTCATGGGGTTGTCTTGGAGATTAAAGGAAGTCTTTTGTGTGAATTGATCAGAAGGCACTGAGACCCACGGAGCGGACCATGCACTCACTGGCTTACCAACCATTACACCATTTTCCTCAAGCTTTGGAGCTACACGAACTGATGTCACATGCCAGTAGTCTGACCCACAACACACACACGTGACAGCAGAGCCACACAGTTCTCTAGACTCATCTTGGTATGAAGTTGTTGAGCAGCTTCCAACAGCCAACCTTTTGGTGGCAGTGGAGTGTGTAACCATGACGTCAGATTAATAATAGTAATGGCGAACAACTCTCACCCAGGGCCGTCGTCTGCTGATGCCACCGCGATCCCCCAATGCAGGGCAGACCTGCCTAGCGGGTTTCCAAGGCTCCACAGGTAGCTCTGATAGCTTTGTGGTGAAGAACTGTGCTGGAAATACAAAGGTACGCTGTTCGACTCCACCAGCTGCTCTGTGGGAGAAAGTGGGCAATCTCCTGTGCCTCTGAAAACCCACTGGAGTCTCAGCTGTGGGTCAGTTCCAGCTCTGCAGATGGCCCATCTTTTCCTCAGGAGGAGTGACTGGTGGGTTTGAACGGCCAACCCGTCAGTTAACAGCGCAACACTAAGAGCAAACATTCTTCCTTTCTCAGTCAGAGAAGAGGAAAGATTTTACCACCTTCTGACACAGCAGAGCCCGGGTCCGAGTCCGGATGAGCTGCTGGGATTTGACTTTGTCAAGACAATGTGCCGGGCACCACTGAGAGGGCCACAGAGATCTAGTTCCTAGTTCTCGTCACAAACCTCAGAATGATTCTCAAGGTCACTGAAGGTTGAAATACGTGAATTTGGCTCTGACATTGACAATACTCTTGATCAAGGAGGGCAGGGGTTTGAGGAAATCGTGGGGTTTGGGGCTTTGCAGGACAGTGGTTTGAGCGCCCAGATCCAGGGAGCAGTAAGTGGGGAATCACTGGGACCCTCACATTGTGGTTGGAGGAGAGGCAAATTCTAGGGGAGCCCTGGAAATGTATGTACATTGCTGGATCTAGGAGAATTTGGATGTGGGTAACTCGTATCTCAAGATGCAATACAAGCGGAATGACATACTTGGGGACCCAGGCTGTGGTGTTGGAATTGGAGTCTTCTAATAGCTAAGGTGGGTGTGGGGGTTCGATTGGAGGCTGAGGTGCTGCCATTACGGCTTTGGGTGGTGCAGTGGTCAGTCTCAGTCCCCCTGCTGGCATTCTGAGGGTGCACTGGGACTTGGGGAGCTAAGTCTTCATGAAGTTTAGAAATTTTGTACTTGGAGATCAGTGACCTTCCAGTCCATCTCCGTCCCCACCTCAGCCCCTCCTCAGTGGCTCTTTCCCCAGGAGCGACAGGCCCTGCCTGGTCCGGTCTCAGCCCTGGGAATGTCTCCAAGGGATCCAGGTCCCTCAGGACAACAGGTGCTAGTTCTCCCGCCCCTTGCACAGCCCTGGGGGTCAGGAGGGGGGTGTCCAGGCCCCAGAAGCCTGGGCAGGGCCTAGGAAGCAGCTGGTGCCAGCAGGGAAGGGGTGGGGCCCTAGGGGATGAGGACTTTTAAAGGCTGCCGAGGGAGGCTCCCAGCTCACCTGCTACCTGGTCCTGGACACTTCTGTCACCATGTGGTTCCTGGCTCTGGGCCTTGCCCTGTCCCTGGGGGACACTGGTGAGACGGGGTGCATGTGAGGGTGGGTAGGGTGAGCGGGCCTTGACACTTGTGTGGCTCCCCATTCTTTCCCACCCAGCACCCCAGCCCCATCCCTCCAGCCCACAGTCCACACAGACCCACACGCCAGCTCCTTTCCTCTCACCCAGCCCCTCCTCCCAGTTCCCAATCCCACATTGGGTCCCTTCTCCCTCCCAGGAACCCCTAAACGCACTCTCTTCTCCAGACAGCTCCCTGACCACGTGGTGAAGCCTCACATTGTCTCTCTGGAGGCTCCAACTTTGCCAAGGCTCCCCCAACCCCCCCACCTGTGCCTGACACCCTAATTATCCTCTCTTGCCCCCTAGATCTGTGGCTCAGTGGTCTTGCTCCTGATTCCCCAAATCCCACATGAACCCCTGATGTTCCTCAACCAGTTGTCAGCTCTCAATGGTGTTGCCTATCCAGACTCCCTACATTCTGATTCCCAGGATTCTCAAATTCCACTAAACAACTCTGATTCTTCCCAGAGTATCTGGCCTGTGACTCCATATGGGTTTCCATCTTTGTATAGGGTTCTGCAAACTCCCCCTCCTTTTCCACCTCAGACCCCCCTCCATCCAACACCTTCTTCCTCGCCTCTCACAATCCCCCAATAAAATCCTCTTATTTATGGACATCCCAGCCTCCCCTCAGCTTTAATCCTATCTGAAAGTTTCTTTTCTTGCTTTTGAGTCCCAAGCTCCTCATACCTTCAAGGTGAAATATGTGATTCCAGGAACCTGCACATACATAACAGGTTCCCTCCTCTCTCCTGACAGCCTTTCCCTCCATCTCCCACCACAAGAGAACCCATATTCCCTCCCTTCGCACCACCACCCCTTTCTCCTCCAGAAAGAGTCCCCCTCCCTCAGCCCATGTCAGAACCACCATCTCTTGATTCTGCCTTATCTCCTCCAGGGCTTGACCCCAGCTCTGTCCTTGAGGGGCCTTTCTTCCTCTTAGAATTCCATTCTGGGGTCATGTTGTTGTGTGCCATCGAGTTGGAACCAACCCACAGCTGATCCGGCGGATTTTCACAAACAAGTTAACCGCTTGGGAGGAGACTGCCGGCCCTTCTCCAGCAGAGCAGCTGGTGGATTTGAAGCGCGTGCCTTTGGGATTGCGGCCCAGCTTCTTAGCATAGGACCCCGAAACCTCCAGGATCCTTTTCCTACTACTTAATCCTAAATGTTCTTGTCCTTTGACCTAGACTCAAGTTTCCGAGCTCTCCCCTCTCCAGGGATTCCGAAGTGACTCCCAAATTGTGCTGCTCATTCTGGCCATAACTCTCGGAATCTGCGTTCTAATTAGAACCCCAATAGCCCACAGGGATTTTGTTTCCTCAGCCTGGGACCCCATAAACCTGCCCATCCTTCCTCTCTCAGCTCCCATCTTCTCTGCTGGAGATCTTGTTCCTGGATTCTTGTCCCTGGAACCCCCTCCTGTCTCGGAAACCACTCCATCTTGTCCCATTCTGAGACTCCAGAACTGCTAACCCCCTGCCCACCGCCAGCTCCACCTACCACTGTGAGCTCCCCCCAGCCCCCCAGAAACCTGGGCTCGGCTCTGCTTTCAGACCATAAGGTCTTTCCACCCAGCTGTCAGCTCTCCATGGCATGTCAGATGTCAGGAAGCCTAATTCCTGACATCTGGTCCCCAAATCTTGATCCCGTGACTCCTGAAAAACTCCCCAGATGCTACCAGACCACCTTGCTTCTTCCCAGTCTGGCACGTCACCAAGCTGCACTCCTTCCCGCGTGGGCATCTCAGTGCATTCTCTCAGTGCACTGAATCATTGGCCTCTCAACCCGCCCTGCCCACGTCCAGCTCTAGTCCTCACCCTTGAGGTCCCCTTCCAATCTCAACAGCATAGCTTTCCTCTCCTGAGCCCGCCTGGCCTGACCCAGCACCCTCCCCACAGGTGCCAACCCTATCCAGTCCAGGATCATCGGAGGCTGGCCGTGCAAGAACCAACATCCCTGGCAGGTGTCTCTGTACAGTTACAACAAGCATGAGTGTGGGGGCGTCCTGATAGACCCCAAGTGGGTGCTCACAGCTGCCCACTGCAAAAGCGAGTGAGTAGAGGCAGAGGGGGCTGGGCATGGGAACAGCCTGGGCTCCTGGAATGAGCAGGCGCTGCTCTGGGATGCTGCTGAGCAGTAGAGGAATGGGGGTGGGGGTCCCCATCACCGTGAGAGACACAGAATTGAGTGTGACTGCTCCAGACCAGTCCTCTCCGGTCTCTCCTCCATGTCTCTGTCACTGCCTAAGTCTCTCTGTGTGTGACCATGTTTTGGTCTCCAGCTCCCTCTCTCTTCTCTCTCCCCTTGTCTGTCTTTTTCATTATCTGTCCATCTCGGGATCTCGCCACCCCCATCTCTGTCTCTCTCTCTCCCTTCCTCATCACTTCTGAACACATAACCCTCAGGGTGGCCTTAGATGGACCTTAGAGAGGACGATTAGCCCAGAACCTGTGGGTGAGTGGGGGGAGGCTCTCATGTCCCTCTGCCCCCAGCTCTACGCTCCAGGACAATCCTACTGTGGGGAGACACGAGGGAGGGCTCGTGTGAGCTGGGGCCAGGTAGGAGGAGGGGAGCGTGGCTGGAGAGGAAAGGGGGGACCTAGACCTTGGGCTGCAGGCCAGGCCCCACGTGCTGCAGAGCACAACTGTCCCAACTGCAGCTGAGCTGCTCTCAGGCAGGGCCCCACCTCCTCCACCTGCCCCTCCCACCTCTGTCCTGCCCCTC